GCAACTTCGGAAGGTCGTAACTTTTGCATACGAACTCCGTTTTTGACGTTCTTTATATCCACGTGTAGGTATTTACAAGTACTACAACTCTCTTTTAGACTCCAATAGCTAATTCTAAGTCTATTTTAAATTTCTCTTATTATAGAGATTTATATTATTCGGTTTATCATAACTTCTTCATGTGAAGTCAGATTCAGACATTCTCTATATTTTTTGAATCGTATGGACGTATACTTTGAGTTGTATCATAAAGAAGGTTCATATTTGTATTAGAATTTATCATGAACTACATAACACTCTTATCACATTACTAGTTTAACAAAATCACATTGCATGATTGGCATAATCACATGTGATTTTCTATCGACCTATTTTGACTAGTGTTACAGATTGACATCTATTGTGCGGACGTGTGGACAGTGCTATTCTGTGAGAATGACAAAGATAATATGTTGTTTGATAATGTGAATACGTTCAATGTTACATACCTATTGTCATTATTACGCATTCACACTAATTAAATCATCTAAAAGGTTATTATAGACTTGTTTTTTTATTATTCACATTCTGTCAGAATGTTTATTGAGTCGTATTTTATAAAAATGAAAATGAGTGAAAAACGATTCGTAAGAACAAAAATGAATAAAAATTAATGAGAATGCATGAAAATGACAATAGTCGTGTGAGGTTGAACGTACTCACATTACTAAACAACTTATTCTCTTAGTAATTCTCATAGAATAGCACTGTCAACACGCACGCACAATAGTTGTTCATCCACATTATAACCTAGCCCTATATATATATATATATATATATATATATATATATATATATATATATATATATATATATATATGGGTGCGGTTCCTGTGATGACTCCTTTTAAAGTGAGAACTCGTAAGGACACCTTAAAAAATTGAAAAAAAATCAAAAAAAAAATACAAATCATAAAATCGAGCATAGATCTATGTCCGGGAGAAAAAAAATTGGAAAAAAAAATTTGCATCATTAAAATTGATCCATGATTCAATTTTAAATTTTTATTTTGCATCATTATGATCCATGATTCAATTTTAATGATCCAAAAAAAAATTTCCAATTTTTTTCTCCTGGACATAGATCTATGCTCGATTTTATTATTTGTATTTTTTTTAGATTTTTTTTCAATTTTTTTAAGGTGTTCTCACGAGTACTCACTTTAAAATAAGTCATCACCGGATCCTATATATATATATATATATATATATATATATATATATATATATATATATTCGGGGTTGCGGGTTCTAATAACGACGTCAACGTTCTCGATCAATCACCAATATTTGACGATCTTTTGTCAGGAAAAGCCCCGGATGCTCCTTTCACAGTGAATGGAAATGAATATAAGTTTGGGTATTACCTTACAGACGGAATATATCCACAATATTCCAAGTTTGTGAAGGCGTTTCGACACCCAATAGATCCAAGGGACAAATATTTCAAGAGACGACAAGAAGGAGCACGTAAGGACGTTGAACGTGCTTTTGGGGTTTTGAAATCAAAATGGCACATAGTTGAACATGCGGCGAGACCTTATGAGTTAGATACTCTACGATATATCATGTATGCATGTATCATAATGCATAACATGGTTGTCGAAGATAAAGGACGCGATATTGCAACGTATTCGCCTACGGAGCCAAGATATGTGCAATTTCAGCCGGGGACATCGGAATATTTACATAGAGTGGTTGATATTCAAGATCAGCGAAAACACAAGCAACTCCGTGAAGACTTGGCGGGTTACATTTATGTTGGTCACGAAGATGAAGATGAATAGTTTTAGGCCAAAAAATGTAGGTTTATCATCTTTTTTTTTCTGGCTTTTTAGGTTTTTAAATGTTTTTGTGTTTTGTTGTAATTTTTTTAATGTTGTTTTTAATTTAAGTTTTATTAAAATTTTATTTTTACTTTTCAAATATAAATAAATAAAAAAAACAAATTCGAAATATAGAAAAATAAACATAAAAAAAAATAAAAAATAAAATAGAAAATAATTGGTGTTATCACATTTATTAGATGTTGCCCATTTCCACATTGGGTGTTATAACACCAAATTGTGACTAGGATGATGAGGTGGACAATTTGGGTGTGATAACATGTAATAACATGTTGCCCACACCTAGTAATTTAACTGAATAAATACAAATAGTAGTGTACACGTGTAATCTTGATATCCTCCCCCCAAGATGAAACTCGGTGAATGTCATTAAAGTTCATCTTGGACAAAATAAAATTGAACTGTGGTGCATAATCCTTTTGTAAAAAGATGAGTTATGTGTTGATTTGTTGGAATATGCTTTGGTAATACTAATTATTTCACATGAGGTCTAAGCGTATTTGCCAAATTTATACATAGTCCATCAAGGCATCTTTTTGGAGCATTAAAGAAGATCATGAAATTTATTGCGGGCACTACAAATTTGGGAATTTAATATTCTAAAGTATCAAATTTCAAGCCATATGATTACACTGATAGTGATCGGGTAAGTTGTATAAATGATAGAAAAAGTATATATATATATATATATATATATATATATATATATATATACACTTTTGGTTCATGTGGAGTTGTCATCATTTAAATGCAAAGTATGCATCAATAAACAACAGATTGTCAAGTTATATTTTGCTTAGAAGATAGAGTTTAGTAGATTTCCTTCAAGAGTAAACCACTGCAACGCTGATCTTTTATGGTAGGACAACAATATCTTTCTAGAAAATGCAGTCTTTCTAGCAAATGAAGCATATCCATATGCGACATCATTTTATCTCGCGATGTTGCAGCAAAGGGGATGATTGAGTTAAAGTATTCTGGTACAAATCAACAGGTGGCATACCAAGTTGTTACCTTCGACAAAAGTTGAAGACTTCAGAATGTTGGATTAATTCAGAAATATGGAGCAGATTTAGCCCAAGAGTATTCTTGGAAAGTTGGTTTTTTAGATAGTTTTAGAACTTGATTAGGATACCTTTATGTCTAGTATAGATAGGAACATATGTTAGACGTTGTTAGGTAAAGTTTTTCCAGAAAATAAACCTTGTTAACCAAGTAAATTCAAGTTCCTTTTCTTCCAGTTATTTCCTAGTTTCCTCTGTTTGTTTTTTTTTCTTTCTGCTGTTGATCGACTTATATTTTGATCATCAAGGCAGCATCAGGTTGTTACGTTACACTTGGTATCAGATAGGGCTGGTGATGACATAGAAGGCCTATTTGAGAGTTGATTTCAACAAAAGTGTAGCTTTCGTTGCAGGGCAGACGCAACAGGAAACCGGGTTCGGTTGAAGGTGGTTGAAGGTGGTGTATGTCGATTTTAATCACAAATTGAAGTGTCTCAACAGCAGCCTCGATTTCTTTTGTCGGGCTTGTTCTAAGGTAGTGAGAGACTAACCGGATGCATGGAAAAGACGGGCGGAAAGACATCAAAGTAGGTGGTTTTGATTCGGTTCATTTTGCGGGTGATGGAAGACGGTAAAGGTGGCTATAACCTTGTCTTCTTGTTTGGTGGAAGAGTGCTCTCGAAACAAGCTTGATTAAAGCGGTCGGGGTTGTCAAAAGAGAGAACAATACATTGATCAGTTGAAATCAGAAGATAGAAAAATCAAAGGATTGTGTTTACATTAATCGGACGGCAATGATTAGAGAGGAAGACATATTGACTTGTTCGTGATAAGGGAGACTGACATAGGTGCATGAAAAGCGGGCATAAAGGATTCGTCAAAGCAGGTGGCTTTGGATTTGATTCGTTTCGTTTGGCAGGTTGAAAGAAAATGGTGTAGCATGTGGCTTTGTTTTCTTAGTCGGTGGAGATGTCTCTTTAAACAACGGTGATTGAAACAAAGGAAGAGATTGGAGAAACTATACGGTATGAACATTATGGCGTTGGAGTTCAAATCGGATATGGCTTTGGATGTGGTCGGGGAGAGATCGTGAATCCGGGAAAAGTCTAGATGGTAATGAACGTGTCCAACTAGATGTCATGTTATATGTTACATGTGTTGTAAATGATCAAAGGGAATGAGAAAAGACTTTGGATGTGATCGAGGTGGAGGTCGGGTGTTCGGGAAATGTCGAGAATCAAGTTTGTTTGCGGATCACGCGTATCACATGTCAATGGGTCGGTAGTTCAAATGGGTCATTTGGGTGTAATGTTTTCTTTATGTACAAGATGAATAAGGAAGAGTACGTTGAGGTCCACCGATTCTTAAGGCGAGCATTGTGTTTAAATTTGATTTGGATACCTTTCTGTCTAGTATATATAGAAACATATGTTAGACGTTATTAAGTTAAGTTTTTCTAGAAAATAGACCTTGTTAACAAAGTAAAAGAAGTTCCTTTTTTTCCTGTTATTTCCTAGTTTCCTCTGTTCGTTTTTTTTTCTTTCTACTGTTGATCAACTTATATTTTGATCATCAAGGCAACATCATGCTGTTACCTTACACAGAATGCATATGGCTGTTTACAACTTTGAAGCAAGGGGGTGTTTTGGTTAATTGCTAATACAATGCTTCAAAGACTATCCTTTCAGTTTTTGATTTGAATACTTTCATAAAAGCTAATTAGTAGTGTTAATTAGAACCTTGACAACTTTTCATTTTTCTAATTTCTATTTTCTTTTGGTAGTACCATCAACTTGTAAGCCTAGCTATATAAGGCCAATATCATTAATTAAACTTGGAAGTATATTAAGTACTCTACCTTTAACTCTGTCGTAACTACCATTGACCAAAATCTCAAAGCAAAAGTCAACTTTCTAGACCACAACAGATGAAATCATTTGTAGCCATTAAGTCAGTTTTACCCTGGTTAAAAATAAGATTCCAAAAAGGTGTCAAGAGAAACAAGCAACAAACGAATCCAAAATGCATAATTGGCAATGTCTTATAGGATATCCATCCTTAAACAAAAAACGATAGCAAATAATCAACATTTGTAAGTTCACCAAATTCTCTTACTACGATAGACCACAAATTTCAAAGCATAAAGTCAACCTTCTGGAGCAAAACAGGTGCACTTCCATCATCGTTTATACCCGTTAAATAACTTAAATCCCCACCAAAATAAGCTTTCAAGAAAGCAACCACAACCCCTCCAACAAATCTCCTCATAGGTTCCCTAGACTTCCCATTCTTACACAAACAATGAGTAGTCTTCCCTCTAATCCCTTTCGTCTCATCATCAAGCATATCAAGATGCCCATAATCTTTCGCTACAAAATAACAAGCCGGTTTACAGCATTCACTGTAAAAGTTCTCATGGTTTACCCCTTTTGGCGCACAAGCTGGGAACAACAGGTTTTTCCTGACTTCACCAAGACCTGAACCAATAACCATAACTGGCATTTCAAGGTTAAACGAATGTGGAACATAAGTGAGCACCTTTGGTGGAGTTTGCTTCCCTGTGTCCATTCCATCAACAGGACCGATTCCAATCAGTGCAGAAAATTTCAAATTTAACTTCGTGTTAAGCTTGTTTAGAGCAAGGGCAAATGCGACTTTTCCTCCACGGCTATGGCCAGCCAATCCTAGCTTTTTTAGGTTTGGTTTTACTTGAGATGGGAGGAACTGTTGAAGTCCTTCAGGTAGCCAATTAGTTATTTCAGCTACACACTCGACTTCTTTAGTTGCATCGGGTCCTGTGACTGAATATAACTGTTGCATGGGAGCAAATATTAGTCGTTAATGTTTTGGTATTCATATGAACATATAAATCTTTTCATATAGCACCAATCTTATATAAAATATGGTTGAACTCTCACGTAGCACCAATCTTTTTACACTAATTGATCTATAAGTACTAACTAAATAACTTATTTTAGTGGAAAAAAGTACGTAACCACCATCTTCAACAAATTAACCATTATTTTGACTATTATTATTATAAAATGACCACCAACTTCACATGCAAATTAAGAAACTTGCTTTTTTTCCACCACAAAAAAATGATAATTTATTAAATACAAGTTATTTTGTTTTATCGGTAAAAAAAAGTATAAATTTATTAAATGTCGATTGGTTTGTGATAATTCTTTTATTTTATTTATAAATTCAAATTAGTGTATATATACTAAAGTACAAACTAAGAAAAGAAGAAACCTGGGGAACGACGATGATGAAGCCATGGGAGGCGATGTGATGACTGAGCTGGGAATAAAAGGAGTTATAGAGAAGATAACCATGGAGTAAAACCAGAACTGGGAATTCTCCTTCTTCTAATGGTGTAAATATCAACAAAGGCTTTGGAGTGATTTCTTCTTCTGGTTTTACGAGCTTTGTTTCATGCTTTCCAATGGCGAACACCTCTGTTTCTGAACCTACAGCTGCAACTGAAGAAGGAGCCATCGATGAACTGAATCAAGTTTAGATTTTTTATTTTTCTTGGTGGGATATTTATATTTAATATAATATGATATTGAGATAAAGTTCACTCCTTTTTAATTGTGTGGTCTTCATAGACCCATCTTGAAGGTTAGTGGAGACGCAAAAAGTATGGGAGGTTGGGACTTCTGGGCTCCTATGTAATTTTGAGATCATGAAAAAAAGCTATAATGCCAAAACGTGGGTCTAATACATTCGCACAAAATTGTTTCAATTTTCATTGGCATCCTTGATTTTAGTTAAGTTTTATAATTATACTATGTGAACATCCGTGTATGGCTAGGGAGGTCAAAAAGTCCCGTGGACCCAGTTCTTGTGGGGGCCCCTTCCCGTTTGAGGGAATTTTTTTAAAAATATCGGGGGCGGTGGCAAGGTTAATCCCCGTTTTAATTTCGGGGGCAGGGGCGGGGGTAGGCAATCCCGTCCCGAAACCCCCATAGGGACACCGCTAATAAATTACACATATCTTTACATATATTAATTATATAAATATAATAAACAATAACATGATTTTAAACTTCCAAAATTCATCAAAAAAACATGTTTTTAAGTTGTTAGTATAATATTTTTTTAGATGTCATAACTTTTTTATTTTTAACATGTAAAATTCTGCTGAAATAATTATTTGTTACTTAAAAAATAGTTTCTTTTAGCCTAAATAACAACTTCTTTTAGCCTAAATAACTTCTTTTAGCCCAAAAAAAGACAACTCAAAATCAATCGGAGGCGGGGAACGGGGGCGAGGGCGGGGGTAATAAAGGGGATTCGGGGGCGGGGACGGGGGAACGGGGAAATTTCGGGGGCGGGAGCGGGGATGCACTCAACGTTCCGTTTACCCCCGTTGACATCCCTATGTATGGCCAATTAAAGTTATTTAATTAAATTTTTTCCAAAATTAATGTTAAAATAAATAAAAAAAAGTTTATATAACATATTGTTATTTTCTTGACTCATAATTAAATAGATGTACATTGGAAGGTTGAATATTGAAATAGTTATAATAATCAATACAATTCAAAACAAATTTAAATTAATATCATTTGAAATAAATATCTATTTTAAACTACATGATTTTAACAGCTTTAAACAATCGTCTTGTTGTGCTAGTATAAAATTATTTATAATTTATTTAATATTATTTTTAATTCTTAATGTTATAATTAAATAATTTAAAAAACTACTATTTCGATTATTTTAATATCGATGATAATGGCATATCTCTAATGAATTGATGGTTAATTAGAGACTATTAATCATAGCTATCACAAAGAATTCATAAACCGCCACCTAACACTCTTTTAAGCCTCCACTATGTCACGTGTCACTACCATATTCCTTTGTGTTTTTCATTTCCTGCTCATTTTCATGCTATGAAGTTTCCTACTTTTCCTCTACATACGGTTTCGTTTTATCTCACAAACAACTACAAATCAACAACTTTTAAAGGAAGCTAGTGTTTTAAAATGAAATCATCTCGAAATCAATTTCAATAGACTAAGGCAGCATGCTTCCTTCTTCAACTTCACGTTGTCTCTGAACATGAGATACAATCTACAAACATCAAGACTATGGTCTCTTCATCCGGCTATTAGAAGTGAATATATTTATGGAGTTGTTGTATTTTTTTATTTTGATTCAACCGAAATATGTAAATATGTAAGATGCTTTGTTTTTATGTGTTTTATCTGATACTAAAGTCGATAATGAAATTTCTACATCTGATTTTTAACTTTTCAGGCGTCATAGGATACCCTCGGGCTTATGGAGATGTGTTTGAGGAATCCGGATCATATTTGGAAACTTTAGAGGTGACAAAAGAACATCGATCCCTTTTCTCTCCTTGATTCTGGTTTTATTTGAATGGTATAACTCTTGGTCAAGTATGATTTCAATTTGGGCTTCTTTAACTTCTCCAATTTCTAGGGTTCTGTTTTTTTAGTGTAACGTCTCATTTTCACAACCAAAAATTTTCATTTTTTATTAAGGTAAAAATCCATATAATAAGACCCGTATTAGGAAAACATTTGCTCCAAATTACATTGGTAAGAAAAAATCAGAGTAATATTAAAGCGCGGAATCTTCATTGTAGTTGATGAATGTGTATAGTCACGCCTTCGTCTTCCCATGATAACCGATGATACATGAAACAATAAACAACTGGATAAGCACAAAGCTTAGTGAGTTTCCCTCAAAATACCCCATACGACAAACATACAAGCATGCATAATAGCCCATAACCATCGGATTGGAATACCCAGACCCAATCAGTCCGCGGACTGGAATGCCAACATGCAACAGGTCCAACCAGCCATTAGACTAGAATACCCAGGGTTTGTTGGTGTAACATTCCGTTTAAGATAGAATAATTAAATAATAAACCCGGAACCCTGAGAAGTAATTTTTATTATTATTTTAAATTATTATAGCCCAAAATCAAATAATAATTAGCGGGGTGTTGGTTTCGGGAAGCCAAATGACAAGATTGGAACCTCTGGGGGTTAAAGTGTAATTTCAGGACTTATTTTGCAAAGGATTTAGAAGTCAGTGGGTGTTTGGTATCATTTGGATTTAATATGAAAGGATTTTGGATGGTTGGGGTTAAAAGGGTAAATTATGTACCTAAGTTGAAAAGAATTTGTCATGGAGGGGCCATTTGGTAACATTTGGACTTAAGTTCAAAGAAAAGAAGAGAATGAGGGACCATTTGCGTCATTATGGGGAGATTTTTATGTGAGACGGGTATATAACTCGTCTATCCCTCCGGAACCCTAACCCTAATCGGATACTGTAGCTGCCACCTTATACCTCCTTCCTTCATCATCCAGTCGCCACCACCTGACCCCTTGTTGTTCCGATCAATCAAGACCATCGCTGCTAACCCACGACCAGACGTGTGCTAGCGCCGCTAGGGAGGAGCTTCCAGGACCTAAGACGACTGTGAATGGCTGTCGTCACCATTCCTCCGACATTTTTACTCCTCTGACGCCATCCGCAGACGCAACACGGCAGTTGCCGGTGCTTCCCGACTGCCCTCACTTCTTTTCCATCCCGTAGCTGTTGCCGCCGCCGTGCCGTTGCTGTCGAGGACCTTACGGCCGGCAAAAATGTCCCTTGCCACTGTTTCAATCAGCAGGTGACCGGCGTCCACCGCTGCCGTCTGGAGGCTGCTCAACACCGCTGACGCCCTCCGTCCGCCACATGTCACCGTGGAATGGTGGTTGGGTTCATGGTTTGTGATGCAGTTGCGTGTGTGTGTGGTTTTCTGTCGAATGGAAATCGTGAAGAACCACCATGGCAGCCGGCCATGATGGCTACCGCCAATGACGAAGTTGTTGCCGCTGACCGCCGTTGTTGCCCGCCTCCTTGTGTCACCACCGCCGCCGTACGCCACCAGGTGGGTGGTTGGGTTTATTTCGCAACAGAAGAGCGTGTGAGGGTGTGATACTTGGCCGAGAATCACAAGAGGGCCACCACCACCACCGTGAGGTGGTGGCTAGCACCTTCGACCACCGCCTGCCGCTACAGAGCGGTTGTGTGTGCGTGTGTTATTTTATGTGTGTGTGTATTTGGATATTGTTGTAAAATGCATTGTATGGCCGGAATAATCAAAGAAAACAATCGGTCACCGCTGTGAGGTGGTGGTTGCCACCTTGCGCCGCCATTCTGCCGCCACCAGCCGCCACCTTGGGTAGCTGTGTGCTTTTGTGTGTGTGATTGTTATTTTGGGATGCTTGGATAGTTTTTTAGCCAAAAGTCATAACCACCACCACTAGGTGGTGGCCGCCGCCATGAGCCGCCGTTGACCACCACTACCCGAGGTGGTAGTGGGTGGTGCCCGACTTGTTTAACTCTAATGGGCCCCATGAATCCCTAATTGACCTAAAAGCCCAACCATGTGACTAATGGGCTGGTATTTGGGTTAGAAACCCTAATTAGGGTTTGGAAACCCTAATGTCATGAAACCCTAATTTTGGGAATTGATCGGGACCCGCACTGGAATTATTTATTAAACTTAAAATATTAATTAATAATCATTTACAATTAACCTAAGTCACTATTGGACTTAATGGATTAAGTCCTTAATGGGTTAAGTAGGAACAGTTAACCCTAATCGTCGTTTCATGTGAAAACCCTAATTTCACTTGGGCCTTGAGTTGGGCCTTTCTATTGTGGTTTGGTGATTGGACTATTGATGGGCTATCCAAGAACAAGTAAATGGACCAAAATAATTGGATGAGCTTTAGGATAAGGCCCATGTGAAGGACTTAGGCCCAATTTGGAAAATTGGGCCATAGGTGGGCCATAACTGAGCCTTGATGATTATGTGATATTGGGCCATGGGAATACCAAAAGTTTGGAGTGGAATAATTGGATGGGCCTTAAGGAAAGACCATGTAGAGGTCTGGGCCTAATTTGGAAAATTGGGCCATATGTTGGGCTTTGGCCCATTACTTGACTTTTGGGCCTTTGGAGTGTGAGTTGGGCCTTGGGCTTGAATCAAGCTAGGTTGGGGGTAAAGTAGTCTTTTACCCCAAGCATGGACTTGTGATTATGTATTGGAACCCAATTATTAATTGGGTGTTGTTTGATATGACAGTTCGGGAATCTGTCATCCAGCAGCTGGAGTTTTATCTGCGGGACTTCAGCAATGTGAGGTGAGTTCTCCTCACTATATCGACAGGGTCTAAGGCACCAATGCCGGCCCTTTTCGGATTTGTTTTCGGGTTATTGCATGATATGCTTATTGATTTACATCCTGGTAGTTAGGATGGTGATATGCTTAGTGACCTGGTTAGGTCGGTATCCTGGTATGTAGGATGATGCTATGTTAGTGACCGGTTAGGTTTGTATCCTGGTTATAGGATGTTGCTATGATTGATAATCTGTTAGATCGGCTTGACTGTTATATATGCTAACGTATGATATTTATGTGCATATGTTTGTTGATTGGGGCTTGGGTTGTGGCGGTCCTGCTTTGTGCTGAATGCCAACAGACCTAGGGCGGTCCGGATAGACTACAGGCCTAGGAGGGCATGCTAGTCAGACCAAAGG